ACCATTAATCAAGAGACATGGTCGCGTCTATGGGAACGAAAAGACACAGAGAAAAGCTTACTACAGTTCTTGAAGCGCCTAAATACATGTCCAGATATACTACTTCCTTACAACTTCGGGTGAGTCACACTGTCTTGTACTACAAATTCTGTTTTTGTTTACTAGCTAGATGTTAATAAGTGTATAGGGTTTAGGGTGGTTGATGAGTTATGCATATGCCCGCTTAATTTATACATGCAAACATGTGCGCATGCAGTTTCCACTGGATCTTGTTAATCATTCAAGCTGACTACGAAATCGTGAAGGGGATGGTCGACAGGTAATTTGAATCATTATCAAACTATATGTCAGCCTCATTAAGTTCGTCATTTCCTGATATCAACTAATTAATAACTCATGTATTTATTTTCTATGCCGGCAGGCAGGGCATGGGAAAAGTTCACCAAACAGGTTGCCCATGGAAACAAAAGCTGATATTGCGTCGACCCAAGATAATTAATTAAGTAGTACTAGCTAGCTAGCTAACGTCTCTGTAATTCTAGTTATAATACCATTATCATGCTTGATTAATTCTTATCCGATTGAATTCTATTCAATTAAAGGCCCTGAAGCACGCTCTGGGGACTGATTTATGTGTATACTACGTTTGCGAGAACATTCGCATGATGGCATCCGAAAGGAGCAGAACAGATAGAGAGCAATGGATACATTTAGCAGAACACTATTCATATTTTTTACATCATTATCTAATATATACACACATAACTAATACATGCATATTGATCTTCTTCTTTAAAGATGAAGGAGATGCGGGATAAACTCTTACCAACGAATCGCGTACGAGCGATTCAAGAGGAAATAGCGGGATTTTTGCTCGACCAGGTAATAGATCCCAAAGGAGAATTCCATTACCCACTACTGCAGTAATGCCTTCATGTAATGATCTGCAAATTGTAGGAGAAATTGTATATACCAACTTGTATATATATGTGTGTATGCGTGAATGGTCGTGCAAGAAATTCGATGATATATATATGATCGGTTCTATCAGAAATTCTATTTATATATATCCATAACATGTACAATATGTAGTAGTGTAAAATATGTTTCAAATGAAAAATAATTAAATGAAAAACATAAAAGGAAAAGGAAAAATAAATCATAAAACCAAAAACCCCTAAACCTTTTAGTCCCAGTTGGTGTTACCAACAGGGACTAATGGTCTCCCAGCCCCCGACGCGGACTCGTACCACACCCTTTAGTACCGGTTCCAGAACCGACACTAAAGAGCTTTACGAACCGAGACTATAGCTCGTTTCTGCACTAGTGGTGGTCGACTGGTGGATCACACTGACCATTAACATGCACTAGACTCTCACAATCTAAGCAAAAGTGGGGTATTTTCTCATATGCAAAATAAAATCAAGTGCCTTAATCGTCCTCCTGCGAGGTCTTATGGAAAAAACCTCGGACTAAAGGTTCATACAAAACCATTAAATATTTGGATGTGGCTAGGTTTCAGTCGACTTAGTCTCAGTCAAGTGACACAATATATAAGCAAAAAAGGAAAAAACTGAAAAGAATTTTCTTCTACGAATCTCCATGCAAGATCACGGGAATATAGAATGAGACTGAGACTTAGCAAAGCTCTAAATTTTTCCTTTAGCAATACCATCTACTACCACATCCACCTTCACATCTTCTCCAAGCCAATTCCCGATAGAGATCTTCACCAAAGTCCTTGCATCTCTTATCCAGCGGGAGATCAGCCACACGAATCCATGTTTCAATGCTGCCAAAGATCATCTCAGGATGTCGTATATCATCATCGTAATCCTTAATCACCACAAGGTTCAAATCAAACTGCCATGGCCCGTTGTGGAGGGCATGCTTCCAATCTCCCTCACTCTCAAACGGATGACAAACATATTCTTCCCTGTATCCTTGAATCTCGTCTCGCCTCACGACGCAAACCCCAAACCCTCTGCATAGCTGGAATAGGGCTGCAGGTTTAGTCAAAAAAAAAAAATTGCGTAGAACTTCCAAGAGCTTTTTTCAACAAAGGCATTGGCCGAGGAGTCAGCCAATAGGCCGCTGATAAGGAAGCCAGGGGTAGTCTCGAGACAACTCTCAATCACATTAAGCATACAAGCAGGCTTAGCACACAAGTGTGCAGAACCGTTTGCCGCTCTCATAACAACAAAAGAAGAAAAACTAGTAATAAGCTCTCTAATTTCAGCGAAGATCTGTACTGCGACCGAACGGTCGGTGTAGCGAGTATTCCAGAGGTTAAATGCCTCGACAGTCGGTCTCAAGGGTCACATTAGTGAAGCCTCTTAGAGCCACTCTAACCGACCCCGCAAAACACGCAGACCCGCAAAATTCTGGCGAGTATGCGGGCTCGGCCCAATTTTCGGCCAGAAGAGAGCCTGCATACTCGCCCGGCCTGCAAATGTTTTTATCGCTGCCCGCAAACCGCACGCCCCGACCGCTATATCTACAGTTCCGCTGCTCGTTTGCGGGTCGAAACCCTATCCCCCGCTGCCGCCTAGCCCTCCGATTCCCCACCCCCTTCTCCACATTTCTCGTCGCCGGCGACCACCTCCCCGCCTCCAGCCGCCATGTGGGGCCGCATGTGGAGCTCCGGACGCGGCGGAAGCGACCCGGAGCGCGAGCGGCGCGTCCGCTCAAACGGCACGAGGAAGCGCAGGGCCTGGAGGTGGACCAACCATGGCATGTCGCCGCCGGCGAGCTTCCGGTGGAGCGAGACGGAGGAGTACGAGCGCCGGCGCACATCCTTCTCCTCGGCGAGATCTTCGTACGCCGGGAGCTCCTCCTCCTCTGGCGCGGGCCTTCTCCCCGTGAAGAGGAGTGGCCGGAGGACGAGGAGGAACCGGAGGAGCCATACGAGTTCGACTTCGTCCCCGTCAAGGAGGAGCCAGAGGAGCCCGCTCCGCTCGGCCGCCGCGGAGTCATCGGGCCGGAAGACTACATCGCCGACGTCGACGCCGTTGCGGCCGCCATCGTCGAGCGAAGCCTGCGCGAGGAGGCGGAGCGCCGGCGTCACGCCGAGGAGGTCGAAGACCTCGAGTAGGGGTAGGCGGTCGCTGCCAACCTCGTCGTCAAGGAGAAGTACGAGGAGTGGCGCCGCATCCGCAAGGAGCAGAGGGCGAAGTACATCGACCTCTGCAGCTCCGGCGAGGAGGATTGAGCGTCATTCTCCTCCACGGCGTCGTCAGTTGCCGTGGCCTCGCTGGCGTCAGACCCGACCCCCAGTATTAACGCAATATGTAGTATGAACTATGTTTGTAGTGTGTTGATCATGATCTATGTAGTATGAGATGAACTACTCGCGTACGAGGTGCAATTTCTCCCGCATAAGTGTTTTTTCAAATTATGCAGTTTTAGGTATGGTTTCTGTTTGGCCACGCTAATTTTTGACCCGCAAACGCGATCTTCATAAAACCACAAACACGTTTTACGGGTCAAGTTTTTGCGGGGTATGCTAGAGTTACTCTTAGAACAGGGCTGCAGGTTTAGTCTGTGCGAGGTGAAATACCGAGGGGGCGACGCACGATGGTTGCAAAGGAACGGACGAAGGAACGTTCGGTACTTTTCTCCACACACACAAAAAAAAACAGAAAATAAAATCGACATCCAAATTCCAATTCCAATTCAAATTTGCGAGAGGTGGTCGTTGAGCAAAAATTAGACTAAGTAACCTGCTGACTTGTTCCTTTTTAATTGGACTAAGTAACCATCTCCTTCTAATTAATCGGGCCCCCTGATTTTAACTGGTGGGGGTGGGCGCCAAGGCCCGTAAAACCCCGTAAAGCTCCGTTGATGTAGCAAAGCCGTCGGCAATACAAACAGATCGTTGTGCTGCACCTGCATGTAGAGTCGTATCGAAACAGATCGAACGATTTTGTCGGCGCTTTCATATTCTTGTTCCTCACTTGCAGTTGGAGAGCTCGATCATAGAGTATAGTAGCTATGTCGTGGTCTTCCCCGGAAAGCATGCTCTTCGTCGGAGCATCGGCCGTTGCCAGCGCTGCTCTAACCTGGGCAACGTGGACGTTGCTCGACGAGTTCAAGTACGACAAACGCCCTTCTGACACCAACTACAACGAACTCCTCGGCGTCAAGCCCCTGGACGCCACCGCCAGCCTCAGGACCTTGGACGCCGCCACGACTGATACCGTCATCGGCCGCAACGACGAGATCGACCGCCTCGTCTGCATCCTCTGCCGGCGCACCAAAAACTGTGCCGCGCTCGTCGGCGCCGCGGGGGTCGGCAAGACGGCCATCGTTGAGGGCCTCGCACAGCGCATCGCCGCCGGGAATGTCCCCAACACGCTTGTCGGCGCACGCATCGTCGAGGTTGACATGGGGGCCATGATGGCCGGGACGCACTGGCGCGGCATGTTTGAGCAGCGCATCAAAGACGCCATCAAGGAGGCAGAGGAGGCGGAAGGCAAGGTCATCTTGTTCATCGACGAGATGCACATGGTCGTCGGCGCCGGCGAGCACAAAGGAGGCCCCATAGACGCCCCCAACATCCTCAAGCCGGCGCTGGCCCGTGGCCGGATACGTTGCGTGGGCGCGACGACCTCCGAAGAGTATCAAAAATATGTTCACACAGACGCCGCACTTGAGCGGCGGTTCCAGAAGGTTGTCATCGAGGAGCCAACTGTGCATGCGACCATTGCCATCCTTCAGGGGCTGAAGCACAGGTACCAAGAGCACCATGGCTTGAAAATCCAGGATGATGCTCTTGTAGCCGCTGCATATCTGGCTGCCCGCTACATTACTGGTACGTATACATACGTCAAGAATTCAGTTTACTCTTAGAGTATCCCTTAATTATACTCCCTCCGTATAAACAAATACTCTGATAAAGAGACGGAGAGAGTACTATATATATGATTGTTTAGGTTGAACATAATTGATGTATCTGATCATTGCCAGGCCGCAAATTCCCTGATAAAGCAATTGATCTTATGGATGAGGCATGCGCTACAACAAAGATGCACGCCGACAAACAAACGACCCTGGAAATTGTTGTTGGCCCTGGACATGTAGCACGGGTAAGTCCTAATCATATCCGTGAATAATTAATTCCCATATGTAATTTGTTTTCGGGGAATTCCTGTATGTTTTTAATGTGTTGTGTTCCTCACATCTAAAATTCATTTGAAGGTTGTGAGCCGATGGACTAAAATCCCTCTCACTACACTTGACCAAGAGGAGAACGAGAAGTTGATCCACATTGCGAAAAAATTGCATGAGCATGTTATTGGCCAGGATGAAGCTGTTAATTTGGTTGCGCAAGCAGTCCTACGTTCTAGGCTCGGATTTGGACAAATCGGACAACCGATAAGTGCATTCCTCTTTTTGGGCCCGATTGGCGTCGGAAAGACAGAACTTGCTAAAGCCCTCGCTGAGAAGATATTTGACAACGAGAAGGCATTGATTCACTTTGATATGTCGGAATATGCTGATAGTGGATCTGTGTCACGTCTCACCGGAGGATCTCGAAGGTTTGATTCTTAAACTTGATATACACTTTTTGTTTCTTGGCACACACATATCTCAAATAACAATATTTGATTTTCTAAAGCTATGAAGAATATGGACAACTCACCGAGAAAGTCAAGAGGCTCCCATATAGTGTTATCCTTTTCGACCAAGTGGATAAAGCAAATGCCTCGGTATTCAAAGTTTTTCACCAGCTGCTCCACGATGCTATGTTGACCGATGGCAAAGGGCAAGTTGTAGATTTCAAGAACACTATCGTCATTATGACCTCAAATATAGGAGCAGAGCACCTACCATCAAGAATCACGGGCGAAAATACAATCAAATCTGGAAGAGATCTCCTCATGAATCAGGTTTGTGAATCCCAACTATCCTTGTAACATGCTCGATTGGCAAGCCAATGATCATCTTATATACACTTGTTCATGCAGGTTAAGAAGCGCTTCAAGCCTGAACTTATCAATAGACTAAGTAAGGTTGTCATATTCGAGCCACTTTCGCACAATGAACTGAGGAAGATTGTGATAATCCAGATGAACAATGTCATTGCAACAGTAGCTAACAAGGGTGTCTCCGTACTTGCAACTGATGCGGCCCTAGACGTCATTCTGTCACAATCACATGACCCGGTGAGTATATATAGCTTTTTTTTCATAACCATCACAAGATGACGATCCATTGTCCAGTTTTTAATGCTTCAACGCTCATAGGTGGATGGCGCAAGGCCCATTAGAAGGTGGGTGCAGAATCACGTGAGCACGATTCTCTCGGACATGCTGGTCGACGGAGAAGCCTGTGCAGGATCGACAATCTCCATTGATGCTGCTGCTGACGATAAGAGGGGGCTAACGTTCCAAGTGCTGAAGAAGCAGCAGGAGTTGGCAGATCAATGAGATGATTTTGGCCGTTGTCACAACCCTGATAGATGAAGAAAGATGCATGCTCATACATAATGCATAGGCATGTAATGTACACAGAAGTGATCATATATTGTTGTAAAGGGTTAATGAATGTAATGACAAGTGCGTACGGGTGTTTATCGTTTCTTTGTTTGATTGTTTTTTCTTCTTTAACTTTAAATATGTATAAACAATTTACTATTTCTCTTCACAAAAAATATGGATTTTTCTGGAATTTCTCATCAGAGTGCACACTGGGTGGAGCACTCCAAGTATAATTAAAACTAGTAACTTAAGGACAATTTCAGTTTCAACACTAAGATGTAAGGATTATTACAAATTATAATCCAGACGCACAACTTTTACACACTAAATTCTCAGCAAAACAATGACTCGTCGAGCACAAACCATGGTACTCAGATAAGATCAGTGGCCCGGGAACAAACATAAATAGTGATTCCTCTTCTTCACACCCTTGTCCTCATCGTGGAAGTTACCGGTGGAACTGACAATACTCGGCGATGAGAACATCGACCTGCAGGATCCAATAGGGCCCCTCGTCTTCCCTTCCCATAGGTGGTGACTCTTAGCATACGGTCTACACTCCTCGAATTTCCTTATACGCCGGGTGTCAGGCTCTTCGCTGAGAGCTAAAGCACAGGCGCTCTGCAAAATCACAGACACCAAGAGTACCTCTCGGCAATAGGGGCAACTCGGCAAAAACATGATATTGCCGAGAGTCATACTCTGCAACACGTGGACACTCGGCAAAGGCACTATTTGCCGGCAGCCAAACAACTGTCACACGGCAACGTGTTGCCACGTGGCTCATCCGGCGGCGAATAATGGCACGGTCATGGTAGCAATGCTTTGCCGAGAGCAGCTCTCGGCAAAGCTCCGGCTCTTAGCAAAACTTTAGTCCCACCTTGCCCAAAGATAAGCAACAGGACCGGTTTAAATTCTGGTGGGTTTCTCTAATAGTATGCCAAACTAACTAACAATTGTAATTAACTGCATTGCAGCGGCGCACTTCTTATTCTTGGATTAAGCCTAATGCTTGCTCTACATATCATGTAGTACTGTTGTGAACTCATAGGTAAAACCATACCCTATCCAATACAGAGTTAGCATAGCTTAGCCTGATTAGGAGGGCAAGATTATTACTTCGGATTGCTTTACGTAGATTGGCATGGCTGATCTTCCCTTCAATTATCATTGCTACTTTATGTATTAATTCCATTGTTCTTCACTTGATCTTGGGATCCATGTTCCAGTGACTTCCTAAACTTTTACTTGATGATGAGAAGTTCCTATTTTAATTTTTCTTCACTTGATCTTCAGGTTTACAGGGTTGATGGATCCATGTTTCAGCGACTTTATAGAAGTGTGTTTACTTATCTAGCTTTCTGTTTGAAATCCATAGACATTATCCAAAATTCTCTTATCAATGCACGAGTTTCCTTTCTTAATTAACATGTGAAGTTCCTTATTCAACAATGATTTTCAGGCCAAATCAGAGGCTGCAGGTTTTACCATTGCAGAGAGAAAAATATGAGAAAACAACAATATATGAGAGGCTTGGTTGATACCTTCAGAAAGCTACATCTCAATAATGTTGTGGGTTACACCTTCTGGCTTGAAAATCAGCTCCATAACAAGATGATTGGAGGGGACTGGATGTAAATGCTCTAACATTATTGTGTTCGATACTACGTGTGTTCGTTGATTGTCCAAAAAAATGTATGTTAGCTGAGACGGTATTGTTCTCGGTTAGTCTTTAGTAGTATCGTTGATTGTAAAAAAAAAATGTATGTTAGCTGAGACAGTATTGTTCTCGGTTAGTCTTTAGCTCCGTGAATTTTATCTTAAAAAACTTTAAAGCCCGTGGCAACGCACGGGCATTGTACTAGTATGCATAAGAATTGGGCTGTTTTTTGGGATACTCGTGAGAGAAAAACCAGAGATGGAGGGTAAAAGAATTAATGCATTATATTATTTCTTTCCAAATTTGTACGAATATCATTTATTACAATTATCATTTGGTTACTTATCCTCATGCACTGATTGCAAATAATTTCTTTTCAAATTTGTACGAATATTATTCATATCATTAATTTACTCTTTATCTATATTATACTACTACTATCATATTATGCACATCCTTAATTACTCTTTATTTATATACTTATCACCATTCATTAATCAAGTATTACGCTCTTGCTTATTTGTGCAAAGATTGTGGAAAGGAAGGCATAGATGACGGCAAATACAGGCTTCACTTTATTATCATATACTAGATTGGTTGCTGGAGGATTGCTAGTAAAAAATCTACCATATCTCTACTCCTAATGGACGACTTGGTGAATAGTCGTGCGGTCAATTTTCATTGGATTTTTTTCGTCATACTCCCACCGTCGGGTTTTTTCGTCATCGTACCATACCAGCATAAATCGAACGATAAAAAACTGTGCAAAAAAAACTGGGATCGATCCCTGGTTCACACAGATCGTACTCCGCCGCCGCCGGATCGCACGCCAGATCCACCCATACGACCAGACCGCGGCGGATCCATCCCTGCGCCGCGTCGCGGCAGATCCATCCCTTCGCAAACGCACTTGCACGAGGCGGCGGATCCATCCTTTCGCCGTCGCACTTGCACGAGGCGGCGGCGAGCTGTTGGATCGGGCGAGGACACGGGGCCACGATCCCGCAGTTCGTGTTCGCCGGCGATCACGAACCCGATCCGACGACGGCCACCTATTTACCACACACAGGGTCTCAACCGGCGCTGCTCCTCTTTCACTTAGAGTACTGCAAGTTCATACTTAATAATTCATACACATTGTTTCATACTGAATAATTCATACTTAAGGCCATACAAAAAAACATCTCAGGAGTCGGCGATCTGCTGTGGGGTCGGTTCAGCAGACGCGAAGCGATCTGGTGTGGGCCGCGACCCCGTCTACGTGACACCGTGATCCCCTTCTGGACGCGCCCAGGATCCAACTTTTTCTGTACGTATTGCAACTTCTGCTCATTACCTATGTAAATAAAATAGTTCATACTCGTTTATGACTATCTTTGCTGAAGCATGGTAGGCCAATCAGCATAGTACAGAATTAGCATAGTCCAATTAGGATATTTGAGATGGTTGCTTGTGCTTACTTGGAATGCTCAATGTCGGCATAGTTAGATGACATATACATCAAGCAGACGACCTTCAATTCCTGGAGCATGGTATGCCAGGCACAATTTCTGGAATTTGCAACAGTGACTTCATTAAACATATTGATGTATATCTTTAGCTTATCATGGTTAAATACCAAGATCCCAGTTCAGCAGAGTGTGTGTATAGTTGGCACAAATTCAAGAAGCGGTAGTAAGACACAAACTTGTTTTCAGAAATTGCAAGAAAGATCGAACAGTGACTATATCGAACAGTGTCTGCTATTTAGTTTAATATATTTCCATAAAGTGCAGCTGGAATAAATATCAGTCCTAAAAACACTAAGAAACCAACATTACTAAGTAAAAAAACCACCAATAAAGATTGGTTGTGTGGCTTCATAGTCCAATTAGCATAGTACAGAATTAGCATAGTTCAATTAGGATAGTCCAGAATACTATGTTCTCAGTCATAATCACAGTGAGGAAATGAGCATATCATACCGATGTACATATAATGCATATAGATTGTGCTGCTTTTACTTACTTTGAGACCTTGGTTGTGTGGCTTGTTCTGGTTACTTTGCACTGCCAATAAGCAGCCTGTCCAATTAGCATAGTCTCCAAGTTGTCTCCAAGTTCACAAACGAAAGTGCATGAAACCACAAAATAGATCAAACAATTAAGAAGCAGTTTGGTAACATAAAACCTCCCAACACGGAGGCTAGGAGTTGGATCCTGGGGGCGTCCAGAAGGGGATAACAAATTAAATGAGTGACGGTAGACAACTTCATTATGAAACAAAACAAGCTAAGATCATTAACCATGATAAACAACTATAGTTCATAAGCCATTGTTAATATTATGAAATGTTTGCTTGTAGGTTAGTTTGGGGAATCTACAAAGCAAAATTGCGGAACATACAACAGCATCGGGCGAACCAAGAGGTAAATCTTTGACTAAAAACTTGCCTACATGTCAAGCTATATCCCGATTGTGATTTCCTTAAATGTCGTTGTTTCAGATAATTTGGATTGGACAAATGATGGTGAGAACAATGCGCGGATCCATTTATGACATTTGGATTTTCAATTTAACAATATTTAATACTATTTATTTATCGAAATGGTCTCGCTTACTTGTATGAATGACACTCAGATGGGCTGACACTTGAACCGTCTGGTCAATCGGTTATTCTTCATAATGAACTTATGGGTACTGAAGTTATTGGATATCAGATGGATGGGACAAACGTTGTTGATAATCACCCTATTAGTCCAGGTATGAGGCTGTGCGGATAGAGTACTCATCATTTTATTCTCTTAAGTTCATGACTTCAATCTCAGTTATTTTTATGAACCATGCTCCAGGCCACTCCATACCTAAACAGACCAGACTCCTAATGATGGAGGAATACACCTGTCCACTATGTCAGTTGCTCAAGTTTTATCCCAAACCCTTCCAGCATCCGAGCACATGACTACAGGACCTTTCGACAATGTCACCAAACAAACTAAAAAAGTATCTTAATTGATGAAAAAAGGGAGCAGATAAACGCCAAGAGGCGAACTACTTATCGGCGGAAGAAAGAGGAGGAAGCAAAGAAACTTGATCATGAGAATCAAGCTGCCGATCTGAACTCAGGTGAGCAAAAAACATATTGAAAAGGAGACCCGGCAATCTCGGTTATTTATCATGCTTATAGAGGCTGTGTTTCAGATGTTCAAGAATAGTCTAAGAACAATATCATGTTGCTTTTGCTCTGTTCCAGATGATTTTGTTGTGTCTCCTAATGATGGAATAATACACCTGTCCACTATGTCAGCTGC